CACATTTTAAATTCCTCCCTGCCTACTGAAATCATCAATGAAATTTTTTAAAAAGAAAAAAAAGAGTCTTTATTTGTTCTGGAAAAGAGCAAAAAAGTACTATCCTTGACAGGTTTTTGTGAAATTGTGTAGATGAGACTGAAATCAGGGAGAGATTGGCTAATCCAGAATTTGTCACGTGCAGAAGAAAAGAAAGGCAGAAGGAGGATATGAGACCTGCAGTGGAAATCCTTAGCTTGGGACAGCAGGACCTGAAAGAGAAGGCAGCTTGTGGATAGACAAGCAGGAAGCCAGTTTTGATCCTGAAGGTGTCTTGAGGAAATGCTTTATACACTACATCCGTGCACAGCTGGGACTCCGTGGCAGTATTCACACCTGCCTTATACTCAGCAGGAAGGACCTGTTAAGAAAAGCTCAAGCTCTGCTGAAATAACTTAGGATGCGGACACTTGTGTTGGTTAGAGGGTTGCTAGTGCGCTGGAAGCTGTTTTGACAAACCCAGAAGGGAAATTCCTTGGCAAGGTGATAATGCTCTAGTGGTGGCTCTCGCTGTTTCTCACAGTCACCTAGTTCTATGACCGAGATCAACCTGTGATATTTGATCAATATTGATTCTCTTCAGGGATGAAGAAATAAAGGCAAATCACTGGCATGTGAATACATTCAGTGGTTCAGAGAATTGAATCAGTTTGAGAAATTTAGCAAAAATTCCCTTGTCAAGTTGCCACTGAAAATGTCAGAGAAAAAATTGTAAGAGTGGAATAATTCGAATTCAGGAAAAGATGTTTTCAAACAGTAAACATGATTTCTGAATTGAATGGGAGAAAATGGTGGGCAGACAGCATATTTGATATTACAGGTTAACCAAATCTATGAAGTAGGCAATACTGTTGAGTTCATCTTCCAGAAAAAAGGGATAAAAAGATGATCATGAGGCAAATGATAAGAGACATGCAGGAAAAATGTAGGAGATTCCATTTAACTGATAGTAGAGAAAGAGTTAAAATGAAAATTCTCTTGAAGAAAAACTTGAGTCCTTAGATTAAAATACTGGACCAAATTAACTAAAAGGAAAAAAGAAGCCATGGCTGGGGATGTTGTAAGATGTTTTTCATTTTATGCGTTTCAAAGACAAAACTTGACAAACATTCAATTAAAACGTATACACACAAATGTACACACCAATGTAGACAGACACAAAATCAGAACACTACCTGAAGAGTTGAGAAACAGCTGTAGAATCAATGTGACCTCTTCAGGTTACTATGGTGGGTTACATCTTGAACAGTACTTGGAGTGAAACTACTGAAATACTGGATAAGCATGTCAAAGTGTCTTTTTAAATGTATCATAAGTTGGTAGAAAACTAAGGGGTCTACAGAGCTCTAAAACTAAGTGTAATCAGAAATTATGGGAGGTAAGGATTTTAAGAGCCCCCTCATTGGAAAGACGCTCCCAGTTGACAAGCAGAAGCAAAAGCAATTTCTAGAAGTCAAAGAATTCCCAAAGATCAAGTTAAATAGAATATATGTTGTTCAGAAAAAATTCCAGCACTCACACGAGGAATGAGATTAATAGAAACAACTGATAGTAGGAATATATCTGTGAAGACTTTAGATGTTAGAATAATCAGAAACAGAAAAAAGTGATTTTTCATGAACTTAAGGAAAAATGGCATAGTTTGGAAATATAAGCAAGAAACAGAAACTGTCAAAGAACCTAATAGAATTTATAGAAATAAAAAGCATAAATGAAAACATTCAATAGCTCGATTAAACAACAGATTAGATACAACTGAAGAGAGATTAGTGACCTGGAAGTTAGATCTGAAGTTCTGCCAATGGAACTTTTTGAGATGATGGAAATGTTCTGTAATCTGCTCTGTCCAGTGTAGTAGCTGCTAGCCCTTGCAGTGTGGCTAGTGTGAGTCAGGAAACAATTTTTTTTGTTTTATTTTATGAAGATTAATTTGGCTAGTGACTGCCTTGTTGGATAGCACAGGTTTAATTGAGGTTAGCGTGATTATTGATAACCATACCAATGGCTGCAATAATTCTGAAAAAGAAATAATAATTTCGTTAAAGATTTCTACTCAGATAGCACTGTGAGTTTATACATTGACACAATTTTCTGCTCCGGTAAATGAGATAGAAAAATAGAAAACTAAAAAGGCCTGGCAGTTTTACAAAGAAAGTCCACATCTTGTGTGGATGAAGAGTGCGAAAGGTATAAATAGAAATACTGTGAAGGTCTGAAGCCATGGGCCTGCTATATCCAGGTCCAGAAGCAGGCAGTGGCAGCTGGGACAGTGTTTCCTGTAGGACCAAAGTTCTGTAGGTACTGTGTTCTGGACTCAGGATCCACGGGAGACAGACTCACTGCGTAGAAGTCAGGATCTGATGGGTGAGGAAATACTGATGTCAGTCACTGCCTGGGCCACAACAAGCTGCAGGACTAAAGAATAGCGAGGACGTAGAGACTGTTTTTGCAACCAGAGGACTGGATCTGTAATAGTCCTAATGTCAGCGGAAGACTGGGACTTCAATCTCCATTATAGTGCTTTGTTCTGTGGTGATGGGCCTGAAAAGAGGAAGTGCTGGTGAAACTGTTCTACATGGTGGATCTCTAGCCCCTGCTTCAGTTCATAGCACTTAGTCGGCATGCAGGTATTTCTTGAACAAATGTATGGACTGGCATAGAGCATAAGCACATTTTCAAAATGAGTCTGCAAACAAAGTTCCAAAATATATCAAGTCGTATGCAAAGAAAAGCAACCAACAAACTAGAATATGAATTCATTTTAAATTGCGATGACTTTATGGAATAGTCTAAAATACACTTTAAAATAGTATAGTTTAGGATGCCTAAGGAAATAAAAGTGTAAGTTCCACTAAAACTGAGGAAGAAGTAAAACTGAAATGAACCAAACAATTGGATATGAAAACTATTTAGAAATCTTGGAAATGAAAAAACATAGCTATTGATTCAAAGGACACATCTGATTTGATGTCTTCTAAACTGGAAGCCATTGAAGACAGAATTGGGGACTGGAAGATAGGCCTGAGGGATTTCCCCCGCATGACGCCGATTAAAGCATGAAAGAGCAGAAAAGAATCGGGGACAATAGGATGAGTAGTCTAAGATGTGTCTAATGGAAATGACAGAAGACACCTCTGAAAGTGGAGAAGGAGTATTTAAGGTGCTACAAGTAAAAACATGTGAGAATTGATCTAGGATAGGTTCTCACTGAAACTAAAGTCTCTGTATCATGTAGGATAAACACAGGTAAATTTGTACCCAGATGCACTGAAGCAAATTTACAGAACAATAATAAAGTAAAAGTTAGCAGGAAGAGAAGATAGAGTCCCTGCTGAGGAGTAATTAATTAGACTGACAGCAAACTCGTTATAGCAACAATAATTGCCAGAAAACAGTGGAGTCAGCTCTAGAGCACTGAGGAAAAATAATTGTCAACCTCATCCTAAAGTTTTATACCTGGACATTCAATTACCATTCAAAATAAGGAGGCAATGCAGTTGTTTTTCAGGAATAGGAATACCATTCATAGATTGTTTTGAAAAGATATACTTGGCCAGGAATAAAAGTAGACCCAGCAGAAGGGTGTTGCAGCTTGGTTCCCTGGAAAGCAGGCTTTGAGACAGAGGTATGTGTGCAGGAAGTGGAGTAGGTAGTGATCTTCAGATCAACAACCAGCGAAGGTGAGGAAGGCAGGATTAGGCAGAAAGAGAAGTTGGGCTGCAATGCAGTCTCAGCACAGGCCTCAGCCGACCCTGGAGGAAGCTATGAAGCTGGGCTGGCCCTCCACAGTTGACTTGATATGGGATGAGGGTCTTGGATTTTCATACCCCTTTGTGGGTCAGTCATTAGATACAGGCCGTCCCTGGGAAGGCTAGGGTGGCTCTCTTCAGTTGAGGTAATCCCTGAGAGCTGACAACTGAGGCTTGTATACTGGCAGAACTCCCTGCAGTGGAGGAATAAGTCCTTCATTCCTGAAGAAGGCGTCTCTCTAGGACAGTGCAGTGTCCACTACAAAAGGCACAGGATGTGAAGAATGGCATTGAGTTGAGAAGTAAATGAACTATGTTACCAATATTAACTTTTGATGGTAAAAAGTAAATTTAGGGGCCGGCCCTGTGGCCCAGTGGTTAAGTTTGCGTGCTGTGCTTTCACGGCCCAGGGTTTCACCAGTTCGGATCCTGGGCATGGACATGGCACTGCTCATCAGGCAATGCTGAGGCGGCATCCCACATGCTACAACTAGAAGGACGCACAACTAAAATATACAGCTATGTATGGGGGGTGGATTCAGGGAGGGAAAAAAAAAAGAGGATTGGCAACAGTTGTTAGCTCAGGTGCCAATCCTTAAAAAAAAAATTTAATTGAGGTTGGAGGAGAGTGGTGATTAAAATATGGTCCAAGATGATCAGGTAAATACAAATAAAATGGAAATACTTGTGATAACATTAATTAGACAAGGTGGAATTCAAAGGGAAGATACCAGCAGGGCAAAGGCTTTTAATATACCAATAGTCCTTAGTGAAGTTGTAATGTTGTAAACTTTTGGACCAGAAAATATAGGATTGAGATACAGAGTGCAAAACTTTTAAAAATCTAAGGATAAGTTGATAAAATTCATACATAGTTTCAGAATTACTGGATTCCTGTTTTCTCTTAGGTGGTATCTGTAAATATATGGGTATATATTTAGAAACACACACATACGTACAATTTTATACTTATACATACATTCATATATCTAACTATGCAATATTCTACTGTGCAGCTATGCCATAATTTATCCAGCTTTCCAATTAACTTGTTTCTAATTTTTTTCTTTATGTTTGACAAGTTGTCTGCTTTGTTACTTTTGTATCTGAAGAAAAAAACTATTTGATTCTTTCTAACATTTTGTTAGTGAAAATAAAAATACTTGGTAATTGTGTCTCCATTTTAATAATGTTATTTTTATGTTATTTTAGCCTTACAAAGGATGAATCCAAAAGGCCAAAGTATAAAGAACTTCTGGTGAGTATGAGACTTGGGAAATTTTAGGTGTTTCTTCACCCTGAATCCCCTTAGCATGGTGGTCCACTAAGCAAGCAGTGGGCCTCTCCGTCATGGACAAACAGCTTGACCTTACTTAGTGTTTTTTGAAATGTTTTTGAACAAAGATATTTGGAAAGAGCACATTTGTAGTTATAATTTTCCTACTAATTTACTAGCTAAACTCTCATGAAAAATTTTGGCCTTGACATGTTATAAAAATTACCCCGGAGACTTTTATCATTCACTTTAAGGAGCCATTTTCCACTGCATGGTCTATATATGCATAATGCATCCATAAGAATTTATTGTGCTTACTCTGCCTTTATTAAAAGCTTTCATGCTCATTTGCATCATAAGGCCAATTCTCGTTTCTTTGAAAGTTCTCACTTTCATGGAAGTTGGGCGTTATAGTCAGTCTGCTGGATTTGGCAGGGGTCTCAGCAGTGAAGAAAGTACTGTGATCTGATAATGTGGGACTATTTTAAGAAAAGACCTCCTTGTTTGTCACACTTAGCTTCCAGCTCTCCAGGATGTTAGGTCAAACTTAGGGTCAGCCCCAGCAATGACTGAAGATGTTCCATCAACATATGTAGAGAAGCTATGGAAGAAAAATATTGATGGAGATGGAATATGAAAAAGTGGGTTTGCGAGGCAGATATGGGGCTCTAGGCTTTGGAGAAGCTCATAGGATAAGTTTCTATTGAGCCTGTTGGAGTGGAAGTCAGGATTGAAACTGAGACCTTTTTGTAAGATCCTTCTGCCGCACAAGGGGGAAATGGGGAATTGTAGTCCCTGCCTGTGTCCCAAGAGGAACAGCAGCCAGTATTCACGTCATTTTTCTTGGCTCTCAGATGGTGGCAGAGGCTCCAGCCGTGTTTTGTGCTGAGGAACAACTCTGCTCTCTGCCTCAACAAATGCTCCCTGGCACACAGATAAGTTTCCAGACTTCACCGTCAGGGCAGCTCCTCCCACCGTGCATCATACCTAGGCACGCCCACACCCTCTAACGTATCTGCATGAAATACGGGCTGTGCTTGCCTCTCTGAACTTGTGCTACAGTATTTTACAGCCATATGTGGTTGGAGACTTTGGTGCTATACTGTGTTGAAGTTGGGAAAAGTTCCGTGTGGGCTCTGATAGGAATTTTGATGTTTTTTCTTTTTTCAATTTTCTTGCAGAAACATCCCTTTATTTTGATGTATGAAGAACGTACCGTAGAGGTCGCATGCTATGTTTGTAAAATCCTGGATCAAATGCCAGCTACTCCCAGCTCTCCCATGTATGTCGATTGATATCGCTGCTACGTCAGACTCTAGAAAAAAGGGCTGAGAGGAAGCAAGACGTAGAGAATTTTCATCCCGTATCACAGTGTTTTTATTGCTCGCCCAGACACCATGTGCAATAAGATTGGTGTTCGTTTCCATCATGCCTGTATACTCCTGTCACCTAGAACGTGCATCCCTGTAATACCCGATTGATCACACAGTGTTAGTGTTGGTCAGAGAGACCTCATCCTGCTCTTTCGTGATGAACATATTCATGAAATGTGGAAGTCAGTACGATCAATTTGTTGACTGTGATTAGATCACATCTTAAATTCATTTCTAGACTCGAAACCTGGAGACGCAGCTACTGGAATGGTGTTTTGTCAACTTCCAAATACTGGAAGTATGTGGTGATGGATGTACTATGTCTGAACCTAGAGACTCGGGCTTGAGTGAGAAGAGCTTGCACAGCCAGCGAGACACATTGCCTTCTGGAGCTGGGAGACAAGGGAGGAATTTCCTTTCTTCACCAAGTGCAATAGGTTTACCGAGTTGATATTCTGTTGCTTTACAGTCCCAGTTGATGTGTGGGGATCGATGTGCTCAGCCAAATTTCCACTTTGAAATATGTTAAATTAGAATGAATTTATCTTTACCAAAAACCATGTTGCATTCAAAGAGGTGAACATTAAAATATTGAGACAGGACAGAATGTGTTCTTTTCTCCTTTACCAGTCCTTCTGCTCTTCATTGGGAAGACTCAGGAGTCTGCCACTTGTCCAAGAAGGTGCTGATCCTCAGAATTTTCATTCTCAGAATTCAGTGTGCTGCCAACTTGATGTTCCACCTGCCACAAACCAGCAGGACTGAAAGAAGAAGAAGAACGGAGGGCAAAGTTTACAGATGGTTTAGCTCTAGTATCTCATCTGGGACACTTGTAGCAGCTATGTATTTCCCCATGGTCCCGAGCCTGATACTTCAGCCATCGTAACTCGCTAACAGGGAGAAGCAGCTAGTAGCAATGTGCCTTGATTGATTAGATAAAGATTTCCTGTAGGCAGCAAAAGACCAAATCTCAGTTGTTTGCCATCACTGGTCCACGTCTTCAGTTTCTGAATCTCTCTCCCTACCCGTCTGTTGCTGCTATGTGACTTTTTTGCTTAATCCAATATTTTGCCTTTTTTTCCTATATCAAAAACCTTTATAATTACCAGGGATGTTCTTTACCAAGGATTTTTGGCCCCAAATCTCTTATATGCTCTAATGTTTAAAAGGCTGAGACACGTGGGGCCCAGCTGATGTGATAGGTGATAAAGAAGCATCTTTTCTAGAGACAGATTTGACCAGATGAGAATCTGAAATGACAGACTTTTAGATAAGCTCGTCACCTCTGAGAATCTCTAGCAAGTCACCACCATTTCTTGACATTGGAATCCAAAACAAAACAAAACAAAACAAAAAACCCTTAACAGTTAGGAGAGGCCGCTGAGATCTGCCGTCTTTTGCCGTGCTTCCTCTCTTACCCGTTAGCTAGGTTCTCCTTAGGTTTTGCTCTGGCCGCCCTGGCACTGAGCATTAGGCTCTGTGCAACAGTTAAGCAGCACTGTGAGTGGTTCGAGCACACTGGAATATAAAACAGCCATGATCTGAGATGCACGTGATGCCATTACAGAACCAAATGGTGGCAGGTATTGCTGTGTCTCCCCCCAGAGTGACAGTCATAAACACTATAAAACAATAAAGGGAGAATGGTGCTGTATAAAGTTACATCCCTGTAAATTTCAGAATTTAAAATGATTTATCGCTTTGGTCCACATGCCTGATTTTCCTGTTTTCTCCCCCACGGCATCCTAAACCTTAGCCTTCCCAGTGTTCTGAAAGGAAGCATTGCTCTGTGTCTTCCTTTGACACCAAGCCATCATCCTCCATTGCTCCCGGGGACTCAAGAGGAATCTGTTTCTCTGCTGTCAACTTGCGGTCTGGCTCAGCATAGGGTCACTTTGCCATTATACAAATGGAGGTAAAAGCAATTCTGACTGTCCAGGAGCTAATCTGACCGTTCTATTGTGTGGATGACCACATAAAAAGGCAATTTTAGTGTATTATTAATCATAGATTATTATAAACTATAAACTTAAGGGCAATGAGTTTATTACAATGTATCTTTATTAAAACAAAAGGGTGTATAGTGTTCACAAACTGTGAAAATAGTGTAAGAACTGTACATTGTGAGCTCTGGTTATTTTTCTCTTGTACCATAGAAAAAATGTATAAAAATTATCAAAAAGCTAATGTGCAGGGATATTGCCTTATTTGTCTGTAAAAATGGAGCTCAGTAACATAACTGCTTCTTGGAGCTTTGGAATATTTTATCCTGTATTCTTGTTTGAATTCCTCCTCTATTTAAGATATATACATGGAATCGAAGTGTTTATGTAATAGTTATATCCTTTTGCCTGCAGGTCAGTTGTAATAAATCTAGGATGTGATGATGACTTTGTAATTTGATTTTCTCAAGTCAGACCCCGAGAGGGGAAAATCAAGTAAATTTCCATTAAATTATCTGTGCATTTCACACTGGGGAAAATTCTCTTCTTCCGGAAGTATTTATGGCTTCTTTCTTCTCTTCCTCCCTTCTTGTGGTTGCTTTATCTCTTTGCTTGTTCTTCTGGAACCACGGATGTATCCGTGAAGCATGAGCTTTCCTTTCTGTTTGAGCAGGTGTGATGCAGTCTGTTCAAGTTTGTTTCTTTGTTCGTTGTCCTGACCTGCCCCAGCTTTCTTATTGGTCGAGGAAGGCGGTGCTTTTCTTCGGCCTGCGTCATGGTGGAGAGATGCGACTTGTGAGGACCCAGTCTGCTGTGACCTGATGCCTCGTTGCCAGCCTGGCTTTCTGCTCTGCTCTGCTGCTGGGCAAGCATTAGGTGTCAGTTCAGATTGCAGTCACCCACTGCCACCTGAGCGAGAGGGGTAGGGAGAGGGTTTGTGAGTCAAAGACCTGGGAGGTGTATGGATGGGAGGACAATGGAGGTGAGCAAAAAGCCATGGAAACCTGGAAACTATTGGAGAGAAGAACTTTGAAGCTCCAGCACTGAATTCATGTGTTACGCTATCAACCTCTTGGTCATTAATGAAATGCTGACTCACTGATTGCATGCTAATTCAGTACGTTACCCTTTTCCTGTGCCTGCTTCTAACCTGATCTGAGATGCAGGAGTTCCCGTTACAGAGCCAGAGGTGGTAAGTATCAAACCTTCTCCAGGGGAGGGTGTGGCTGTAGGAACCCTGGCCTCTTCAGTTAAGCCTTGGCTGCTATGGGAACAGATGCCCCGTGGAGTTTCCAGATCCCAGCTGAGCACCACTATGTGCAAGAGTCTCCTGAGAGAGAGGTAGAAGGTGCTCCGTGCTTCATGGGGCACTTCCCCTATTTGATCCTGACAGTAGCCTTCAAAGTCAGGATATACTGTCCCCTTTTAGATAATGAGAAAAAAATAAGGTTAAGAGAAGTGAAGTCTGACTCTGATAGCAGTAGGGAGGAGAGCTGAGATTCAAATCCTGTAACACTTACCGTAAGAAATTACATTAATGAACAAACTACCATCACAGAACTGTTGAGATGAGCAGTAGGAGAGTGAACTGTGGCTGGAGATACTCTGGATAAACCTTACCGAGGCCTGCTTTGTCATCTTGAAATGAGTTGAAGTCAGAGGTTCTGGGGGCCACAGTGGGGCTTAATGGTTGGCATAAAGACAGTGGTGTAGAAGGTGCCTTAGAACTAACTAGAGAAGCTCTAGTTCCCGATTCTTAAGTGTGACACCTGAGAATTCAGTATAGAGGCCTCGATGTCCCTGTTAGCATGATGACGTTATGTGCCAATCACTGAGGAGGCATTAGGCAGGAAAGGAACCTGAGCTGATTCAGTATTAAAGTGCCCTTTCACTTACTGATTCCATCCATCTCAGCTGCAGGAGGACACATCAGGTCTTGAAAGCGCCCCAGGACACTACCTGCCCTGTGTCAGGTCCAGAGGTGGTTTTGTGTCCCCAGCTCTTGGCCAGGGCTTTATGTATCAGTCAGGTCCATGGTATCTATGCTTTTAACTTGGGGTGTAAGAGATAGAGAACCTAAAAACTGTTGGTCTTGAACTTGTTAGCTCCCTTAAATAACCTCATTAAGTGGTTTGAAGAGAAATCCAGTCAGCAATAGTGACACTCTTGTTAGGGTACACTGTAAGAACCATGTGTAATGGAGAGTTGGTATTAGACTATGTGGTATAGGAATACCTTTAGTATGTGAAACATCAGCTTCCGTATATCTTCTGGGAATTTACTACAGACTGAAGTGATGTATTTCTTGGTCTTCCCCATCTTTCAGATAAATGAATACCCAAGAATTCCTAAACCTTGAAATCTGGGGTAACATTTTGTTTGTTTGTTTTTCTGAAGTTATGCCAGATTGTGTTTATATTTCTTAACTATAAAGTTTGATTCTGCTATTTAAAATTGTCAGTCCGTGTAGCATAGTGTAAAGTCACAATTGAGTAATCATAATGTGTAATCAAATTTCTATCTGCATTTGAAATTTCTATCTACATATACATTTTGCTGAAGAACTGTGATAAAAAAGGACTTCTAGTTTTTCATAACGCTTGTACACAGTTTTAATGTGAACATAAGTCTTGGAGGTAAATAGGGTATTGCAGCTTCAGTCCTACACACAGGGTCCCAGTCTTCAATAATTCAGTACTTTGCTTAATGTAATGCATTGATAGAGTCAAGCGTCAGTCAATGCCTCAGGCCTCTTGATGCTTGGTTGATAGTCTTCTCATGAAACTGTTTCCTATTTGACAATGTGATGAATCACAAGGTTTGATTATAAAATGCCTAGATTTTTTTTTTTTTAAGCAAAGGCTTGTTACATACACAATTCCTGCCTGTCTTGTAGACTCTGCATTTCTTGCAGTTCATGGAACCAATGCTGAGGACATTTTCTTATTCCTTTCGAAAAATGCCTTTAGCACATGCTTAGAAACATCATCACATAATCATCCCTGCTCACTTTTGATCCCAAATGGTATCTCACAGTCTAATTCCTTTGCTACAGGACTGGATCACAACCAAAACCCACTTTCTAGAAGGTAAATCCATTTTCAAAGCATGAAGAATTGCTTCAACTGAGCACACAAAAAGTATAAAGACTTGTTAGGGTCAGCTTTTGTTCTTGACGTCAGGGCCTGTCTTTGAAACTTGCCTTCTACTTCCGATTAGGAACCAAGACCTTTTGATTAGATCGTCTAATTTTCTCTAGTTCCATTTATTCTTTTCTACTCCCATTGCCATTACATACTCACTGCTCACCTTGTATTCCTGCCTGCTGACTGGTCTTCCTCACCTCTGGTTCTGTTTCTCTCCTTCCATCCCCTCTACTGCCCTTAGGGTTTGTAAAGTGCTAATCTAATCGTGTCTTTCTTCTGTGTAAAATTCTTTAATGAGTCCATGGGAAATGCAAGATAAAGGCCAAACTCATGTTTTTAGATGTATAGTTTTAAGCCTCAACACATGGGTAGGAACTATTATCTCCATTTTAAAGGTCAAATGGGTTCACTGTGGTTAGTAACCTGTCCACTATCACAGCCAGTGAGGAATGTGAAAGGGTCAGGGCTGGTCACGTGTCTGAAAAGTTGGACAGGGTCATAGTCATACGGGAATTGTACATCATGCTGAGGTTGAGCTTTCTCTCTTAGGTGCTGGAGAACTATATGGGACTTGAAGCAAGGAAATGGTTTCATCTCAGTGGTTCTTTAGATAATTCATTCAGTGACTATGTAGGCTGGAATGGTAACAGGGAGACTGGAAGGCCAATTAAGAAACTGACAATATTCTAGGCAAAAGTTGAGGAAGGTAAAGTAGTGGAATTGGGAATGGAGAGGAGAGGATTTAAGAGATAACTTAGGGGGTGAAATTAGGTAGATTGGTTCTTGATTAAATGTCTAAGGTAAAGAAGGGAGTAGGGGAGCCAGGAATAACGTCGTTTTCTGGCTTGGGTGTCTGGGGTGGTTTTACACAGTCTTGTGCTGCTCGCAACCCCTCATGGTAACAAACCTGCTGTGCTCTCTTGTGCTTTGTTCTTGTCGCCTGACCTGATTCCTTCTGTCTGGAATTACTTTCTTCATTTGTCTTTTGAAAGTACCTACTTATTCTTTAAGACCTGGGTTAAATGGCACACCCTGTGAGAAGCCTTTCCCAATTCTGTCCTTTGAGCTCAAATCACATTTTTTACGTATCTCTATGCAGCACTTAATCATGTATAGTTAGCGTTATTTGCCTCTTTCCTTACTTGGTTGTGACTTATTTGAAGTCAATCTTAGTCATCTTTATGGCCCCAAGTGGTATAGTCAGCCTAGTTGTCATATAAGGATAGTGCTTTTCTGTTAAAAAGGCCATATATGCATGATTTTATCACTCTGTTGAAGATAGCATTTCATTCTATGGAGCGTAGTGATTTTTCCCTAGAAAACTGTACGGAAAAGTTTGATGTATATATCCATGGCATATTGCTGCTAAAAGCAGAGAGGTGAATGTAAATTGTAGTTGGGGCTGTCCCACCACACAGTCAAAAGTTAGCAACAAAATTTTAGGTACCGTGTAAACGGAAGTAGTCAACTCTTGGTAGCCATTAAGAAAGTATTAGTGACTTCTGTTTCTGACAGTTTGTTAGATTAGATACCATTCGTGGTATTCCTAATTGGAGCAGCTACACTGGTGATTACAAAATAAAAATAGTGCTTTTTAAGTGCTTTCCTGAATTGGCTCAAAAGTAAGGAATCTGCCAAGACCCCGCATACGTGGAAGCAGGAACTCTTGATCTCCCGACCTGCCTTTTTTTGCATGCTTCTAGAAAGTAAATCCATTTTCAGTTGAGGAGTTGCTTCAACTGAGACAGAAAAAAGTGTGAAGAACTTGCTGGGAACATCTTTTGTTCCTGAAGATGACAGGGCCTTTCTTTGAAGTTGCCAACTTTTTTTGAAAGTAACCAAGTGCCAACAAGTAAGTTGTGCTGAGAGCTTCTGCTGAACCCTGGAAACCTCGAGGTTTTGTATGTAAAATTATGCAGGGTTCGAGGCTCAGGAAATAAAGTGTGGAGCCTACCCAATGTAGGTTGTTCTACTGGGAAATCCTATAAGGCTGGCCCTTCAGAGGGCTACATACAACCTGTGAGGTAGAAAAAGAAAAATCTGCCGACTGGTCGAAGATGGAATTGAAACGTATTTGCCTTCATCTTGGCACTGAGTTGATGAAAACCTTTTAAAATCTCGAAGAATCTAACCACAAGTCAACTTCCGTGGGTTCATGGTCTGAATACACACTACCTCTATTGGTCCAAAACCCTCAAGCAGAGAATTTCAACGGACCTCGGTTGGTACTGTCCCCAGGTAACTGGCAAAAGCAAACCAAAATTGTCATTGGAGGAACTCTCCTTCAGCTCAGACCCTCGAAAAATTACCACAGGTAAGGTTCAAAGGAAAATGAAAAAATCACGAACACACAAACAAGATGCTGGGAGTGAGGACCAGCG